GCATGATGTCCCTCTCCAAGGACCGGTCTCTCCTCACAACATGTCCAAAGTAAGTTAGACGGAGCCTCAGAATCCTTGCCTCCAAGGAGCCACCCGGTTTAACCCTCTCGGAGAATAATATATTCCATTTTTGTTCAGATTTTCAAATTTCTTCCTAAAACTGATGCCAAATCATCCACACTCCATAATATTTTATGTCTTTATCATTGAAAAACATTGTTGCTCTACTGAGATATATAGGCCCATCAAACTCAGAATAGGTGGAATTATGAAAATGCCTAAAAATGTGCTGGGATAGTGGGGTTTTTTTTAATATGACATCTAAATTCTCCCATGATTATAGGAGACTTATTATTTTTACCATATCTGGCACTGCCACTGTTTCTTTTTGTTTGTTTATTTACAGCATGTTTTTCCCATTTAATTTACCCCCATACATTCATTATTGCACATTTTCCACCCTGCCCACCCCTCCCCCTAGTTTGCAGTTCTCTTTAAAAAGAAAAATTCTTTCATAGTTATACAATCCTCTTCCCCCTATGTCCATAGTCCACTTTACTATGCATTTCTTTTTCCAGAATCTTGTCATGAAAATAATACCTAATCATATATTCCTTTTAAACAATCCTCTCCCTCATCTGTTTCAATGCAATATACATTATTTATCCCCTCTTTTTTAGGCTCCCCCAAACCCCAATGTCAGTCCCATTTTACAACAGTGGCACTATGCAGTATTTGTCCTTTTGTGACTTAGATGTTTCACTCAGCATAATGTCCTCCAGGGTTACCCATTTTATATAATATTCCATGAATTTCCTATTTTTTCAATGCAGCATAGTATTCCATTGTGTGACTATACCACAGGTTCTCTACCCATTCCTTTGTTGATGGGCACTTGGGTTGTTTCTAGCTCTTTGCTGTTGTGCACAAAGCAGCAATAAACATGAATACGCATATATCTTCTTGGGTTCTGGTTTCTTTAGGGTATATATTCCCAGTAGTGAGTTGCTGGGTCAAATGCTATTTCTATTTACACCTTTTTTTTTTAAATGTGTGTGTGTGTGTGTGTGTGTGTGTGTGTGTACCGTCAAATCAGAGCTGACTGGTACAGGAGGAGATTGCCCCTTCTCCTCCAGCAGAGCATCTGGTGGATTCAAACCACATACCTCTGGGATTACAGTACAGTTTCTTGACACTAGGCCACCTGAGCTTTCTTTAGTTACAATTTTTTGAGAAAGCACCATACTTCCTTCCATAGTGGTCGCACCATTATACACTCCCACCAACAGTGAATAATGGTTCCAGTTTTCTCCACAACCTCACCAGCAATTGTTGTTTGCTGCTCTGTTGAATTTTGCTATTCTTACTGGGGTGAGATGATGTAGTAGTTTTGATTTGTATCTCTCTTAGAGCTGAAGATTTTGAACATTTCTTCATGTGCTTGTTGGCCATCTGAATGTCTTCTTTGGTGAAGTGTCTGCTCATATTCTGTGCCCATTTTGCAAGCGGGTTGTTTACCTTTATCTTCTTTTGGTGCTGTAGTATTGAATACATCCTAGATATAAGTCCTTTATTAGATATGTCATTGCCAAATATTTTTCCCAGTATGTGACTTCCCTTTTTACCTTATTGGAGAAGTTTTTGAATGTGCATAGGGATTTGATTCCTAGAAGGACCCATTCATCTATTTTATCCTCTCCTGGTTGTAGGTTGCCACTGTTTCAATGCAGTTTTTATACTTTGTAAGCTGTTTTCAAAGTATATGTTGCATGGTAAATTTAACATAAAACATTAATATTATTGAATGATGACAAATGTCAAATATTTTATTTTACATTGAACATACCTTGGATTGCTAGGAGAACACACACGTTCATCTTAGAAAGGGTGAGATCAGGCTGCTTCTTGGAGGCAAGGATTTTGAGACTTCATCTGCCATACTTTGGACATGTTGCAAGGAGGGACCAGTCCTTGGAGATGGACATCATGCTTGGGAGGGTGGAGGGACAATGCAGGAGAGGAAGACTCTCGATGAGATGGATTAATTCAGTTATCAGGGTAATGGGGGTATTGTCTGAGACAATAAGATTGTCATAAGATAGAGCAGAGTTTAAGGCTGTTGTGCATGGGATCATTATGAGTCGCAGGCAACTCAACAGCACATAACAACAATACTTTAATTAATTAATAATGCTATTTCATTCTTGCTTTTTAATACTCTGTTTGGCATTGACAGTTTGTAAACTTTGCCCTGAACAATCCATTATAATCTAACTTCATCCACTGGTGAGTACCATTGTCTTCACTACATAGACTTCTTGTCTATGGTCTTCTATGTAGGATCACATGGACTTATCCTGCTTCTTTTAATAAGAACTAAATATATTTCCTCTTCTCTCTTCTGCCTAGAGTACTGAATTTCAAGAAACTAGCCTTACCTTCAATTATCTGTTACATTTTTCATTTTAAATTATTAATGTAGGGTGCATTTCTGAGTTAATTGATCTCTATGAAGAAAGAGAACAGTTAGTAAAATTCTTACATTGCACTCTTTTTAAATGTTACATTAACAATTGCTATGTTTATACAAGCTAATTATTAAGTCGAAGACAGAATAATAAATAACATGGTATAATCTGAGAAACAATCCATAATAACTAAGCAAAGAATGGCTTCATCCTGGTGTGCATAGTCTAATGTTGATTGCTGTTATAAAATAAAATGAATGGGAATGATTATATGAAACACAATTTACATGAGGGATAATGTGAAATGCAATGTATACCACCATTGTATGCAAACCAATAAAATTTTTAAAAATATTATTTTAGTTATTTTAAAAAAATGTGAGGAAATCTTTTTCTGTATATCACATGCGCTCTAATCTCATACCAGTGTATCTGCAGAGATAATATGCAGATGCATTTCATAAGTAATATATCTTCCAATTTTAAAATGTTTCTATTAATGACTGTTTCCTGGATCAGTTTCTGATATCAAAATTGTATTTGTTTGTTTCTTTTTGCAAGCTAAGAAAGGCACAGGTAAAAAAGAAAGATATAAAGGTTATTATTCTTATTCTTATTATTATTTTAAATATATAGAGCAGCAAATTGAAACTCATTGCCAGCAGTCAAAACCAATTCATAGCTGACCCTCCTTTGGGTTTCTGAGGCTGTAATCAAGTGGGAGGGATTACTTATCATTCTTTCAAGGAGTCTGATAGATTTGATCTAATAGAGTACTACCTTTGAGTTAGCAGTACAGTTAGCTACAGACCACACCAACTGAGCTCCCTAAATATATATTGGGTTGTTGTTCTATAATGTGGAAACATAAAAATACATTTATATATATATATATATATATATAATTTGTTCTATTAATTACATCAATTCTAGAATTACTGAGAAGTCTTAAGTACCAGTCTTGAAAACATCTACTTATATAATTAAAAGTAGTCCTTCACAGTCCTAGGCTGATCTTTATACCTTATTCATCAACAGTTAGAATTTAGAAATACTTAAGTACAATCTGGACCTGTGTTTCATTTTATGGCCTTAAACTAGAAAGTTTCCTCTTGTAATTTGGGTCTTTCAGGTCACAGGACAGTTTGTATTCTTATTAGCTAAATAGTAAATAATGAGCTCTTCCAGCAACCACCAGGGAGCATTTACAACATTAAAATTTTTCTGTTTCTATGTGCCTCTCAGGGCTTGCATATCATCTTTACAACTATTTTAGAATTGCTAAGTTCTTGGGCATGAAACCAACAATGGAACTTAAAGCAAAGAGCATTAATCCTTTGAGCACAACTCGGCAAGCTGTAGCTCTTGAGCCTGTGCAATCAGCCTATCTCTGTTGTGGTTGTATTGGGTTTGATTTGAAATGTCCACGTGGAAGAAGACTTAACACTGTTACTTTTCTGTTCAAAATCCTGTCTATAACTGCAGTACACTGTCTTCTTTCACACATGTACATTTTCCAAAATAAGTCCAGCTTTACGTCTTTTTATTTTCCTTTGCCTTATTTTCCTTAAAACACTGTTTCTAGGATTGTTATATGTTGTCGGGTCAAGTAAGGCTTGTAGCAGCCCTGTGAACCACAGACCTGAACCCTGCTCCATCCTCTGCTACTCTCGTAGTTTCTGACATACTTGAGCCATGTGTACAGTTACCGTGTCAGTCCATCTCTCTGGGGGTGTCCTCTAATATGTTAAGGTGAGGATAACATGATATGACTAATTATTTTCGAGATTCAGTTTTAGAGAATTTTTCAAGATTTTCTGCAAACATTTTAATCTCGCAAAGCTGTCCTGAAAGTAATCTTAAAATCCAAATTTGACATTTATTCCACTTGCACTACTAATTAAAAGTGAGTTAATGTTAAGCCTACTTTTTCTGTTTTTAAGTAATATTTTAAATTGCTTAATCATGAAGGATTAAGTATGAATGTAGCTGTTTGTGTATGTGTCTTTCTCTTGTTATTGTGCTGAACCAACTCATAGCTGACTCTCCCTTGGGTTTCCAAGGGGTATCACAGAGATATCCCATCCTTCTTCCACAAAGCAGCTCGTGGATTCAGACCAGCAGAGAGGTGTACCACCTTTCGGGTTAGCCATGTAGCTCCCAGTGATCTACGCCACCAGAGTTCTCTAGTTGCTTGTTGTGTATACGTCAAAGACAATTTTAAAGAAACAAATTGAAATCAAGTCCACTCATGTTTGTGATAATTAAATTTACTTATAACCTGTCTACAGAGTCTACCATTGGTTTTAAGGATATTAAGGAAAAGTAACAGAAGGAAATCTGTGAGTATCCTGAAACTAAAAAAAAACCAAATTATCACCAAATAATGAATACAGAGGTGGAGATCTACAGAATATATGAATAATAACTTCACATCACCTTTATTGCTTTTCTTACATTTCCTTTATATAGCTTCATCATTTCTTTAAATTATTTTACTGGTTCATGAGCATTTACTTTCATACTTGGCAGGTCAGTTTCTTCTGGAAGAAGCTCGTCTCCTAGAAGCAGCTGAGATGGCAAAAAAAGCAGCTGAACTAGACAGCACGGAGTTTGATGTCGTCTTCAATGCTGCCCACATGCTCAGGTTAGTCTTTCCCAATTATGAATCTTGCAGTGTTTCTGTCTTTCCCAATTTTGAACCATGCAGTGTTTCCTTGCTCTGTTCTGCCTGCCTCCTGGTCCAAGAATAGGTTTCACATGAGCACAATCAGATGTTCTGAGATTTCTGTCTCTTCTCAAGGTTGCCCACAATTTGTTATGATCCACACAGTAAAATTCCAGATAGACATTCCTCTGGTACTCTCTGTTTTCAGCAAGATCCATCAACATTGGCTATGATCTCTCTAGAGTCATGGCCTCTTCTAAACCTGGCTTTTATTTCTGATAATTACAAGAACAAACAGGTTTGTCCTGGTAAAAATGAAGTCAGAATGCTCCTTGGAGTCAAGGATTCTGAGGCTTCGTCTAACATACTTTGGACATGTTGCAAGGAGGGACGGGTCCTTGGAGAGGGGTGTCATGTTTGTGAGAGTGGAGGGACGGCGCAGGAGAGGAAGACCCTCAATGAGATGGATCGATTCAGTGATTGGGGTAGTGGGAGTAGGTGTGTCAGAGATGGTGAAATTGGCACAGGATAGAGCAGGGTTTAGGGCTCCTATACATAGGGTCACTGTGAGTCACAAGTGACTTGACAGCACATAACAAACAAACAAAATCTGTCAGTGTGCTGTTCCAGTTGCTTTTGTCTGATCTTCATCAGGATTTTGTTTGCATATGATATTATTGATTTTTGTTGTTGTTGTTTATGTGCCATCAAGTTGCCTGTGACTCATTCAATAATTTCCACACTTTGTTGGATCACATTTTTGAAATGGGAATAAGTATGGATCTATTCCAGTCAGTTTCCCAAGTATTTTTTTTCCATATTTCTTGGCATAGCCTGGTGAGTACTTCCACCAGTAATATGTAAATTTTCTACACCATTTGGGGAGCTCTTGTGTGGTTCAGTAGTGAGGAACTGTACTGGCAACCCAAATGTATCTCCTCCCATGCAGGTTACTGCCTTGAAAACCTGCAGGGTCAGGTATGGGTTGATTCTTACTCAACAGTACACACCAGCAACAACAACATTTAGAAAGTGTTGAGATAATAACCCCCTTCCCTCAAAAAAATACTGGTCTTAAAATATAAAACAGAAACTGTGAAATTAAAATGTGTTTCAATATCTGTAACACAAAACATTTGTCAGTAAGTTAACTGCTTCTCAACATTTATGTACTTAAGTGAATCATAGTCAATATGGTATGTGGGTACATTTTAATATATTTGAGAGTGGAGAGGATAGTAAAATAGAAATATATTTAAAGTCTATCATATTCTTAAAATTACCCTGTAATTAACATGAGTGTAATGTATTTAAATAGTACATTTTTAGTTCACATTTAGTTTACATTCAGAAAGGTTATTCTGTCAAATGATTACAAATATTTTAAAAAAAAGGTAAGAGGGCAGACCAGTATTAGTTTTTTATGGGCAACAGTGTCAGTCTAGAGACTAATATGCACATGATTCAAACCATAGTCTTCACGATTACTTGTTATGCATCAGAAAGCTGGACAATGAATAAGGATGATCGAAGAAAAATTGATGCCTTTCAGTTATGGTGCTAGAGGAGAGTAGTAAACATACCAGGACTGCCAAGAGAACAAAGATTTCTTCTGGAGAAGGAAGGTAAAACCAGTTTGCTCCTCGGAGGCAAGGATTTTGAAGCTCTGTCTCACATATTTAAGGCATGTTGCCAAGAAGGACCAGTCATTAGAGAAGGATATTATGCGTGGAAGGGTAGAGGGACAGCACAAGAGAGGAAGAACCTGGATGAGGGGGATTGATACAGTGACTGGGACAGTGGGAGAAGGTGTGTCAGAGACAATGAAATTGGGCTCAAAATAGAGCAGGGCTATTGTACATAGAGTCACTGAGATGCATAGTAGATTGGGTGTTGGAGGGAAGGGAGGGAATTTTGCAACAATGAAAATCTTTTATTTTTTTAAAAAATATTAATTTTAATGAATATTTACAGAGATTTTGGATTTTCATTCATTCATTGCTGCACTTTCCCCCCTCTCCCCCAAGTTCGCTCTTCTCCTTAAAACCAAAAGATAAACTTATTTTTTAAAGAGAAAAGTGACGGGGGGAGGGGAGTTTGGAGGGAGGAAAATGTGCAACAATTAATGAATGGAAATTACAGTTTCCTATAAACTTTCATTAAAATATAACAAAAATAAAAAAATTGAAGACACATAACATCAACAAGATCAACGATAAAATATTTTAAAGAAATTAAATTGGTTTTATGAGGCACTCTGCTGACCTAGTGGCAAGAAGCTGCACTGCAATTGCTAAGGCACTTGACTCAAGGACACCCGCTGCTTCATGAGAGAAGGATGGATAATCTCCTCCCATGCAATTAACTGCCTCTGAAAACCCACCAGAGAGTCAGCTATGGGTCAGTTCCAACACTGTGGTATACAACAACAACAAAAATTTAGTTCCAGAAGCATTATTTGTTCTCTTAGCATATAGCTCTTCTCCTAAAGCTGTAGCTGAATTTGTATTAAAACTGCATTTCAAGGCTATATTCATCATGTGAATCACACACTATGGCCTCTATGCTTCACTTCCAGGAATTGATTTCTAATTATTATAAATAATAAGAAAAATAGTGCAGGAGTTGATTGAAATGTGCATGCTTTAAAACATGAACTTATAAATAAAATAGACCTACTTTTTCATTAATACAGAAAAAACTCCTATACTTTTTATACCCAATTTCTCACATACAGTGTGGTCTACAAAACACTGGTATTACATCACACTAAAATACTGACCTAGATGCAGTCCAGTTTTATTTTACTACCCTGTGTAAGTCTGTTTAGTACTGTGCAATTTTATCATACTTATAGATCACACATAGTCAAAATCTGGAACATTCTTGTTGCCATAGAATTCCCTCTTGTTTCCCTCCTAAAACCATAGCATCACCCTTCTACCTAAGGAAATAATGTTGCTATTGTTATGTGCCATCGAGTCGCTTGCGACTCATAGCGACCCTATGCACAACAGCCCTAACCTCTGCTCTGTCCTGTGCCAATCACGTCTCCGATACACTCATCCCGCTTACCCCAGTCACTGAATCAATCCACCTCATAGAGGGCCTTCTCTTCCCACGCTGTCCCTCCACCCTACCAAGCATGATGTCAAGGACTGGTCAACATGTCCTTACAACATGTCCAAAGTATGTTAGACGGAGCCTCAGAATCCTTGCCTCAAAGGAGCTGCCCGGTTTGACCCTTTCCAGGATGAATCTGTTTTCCTAGCAGTCCACGGTACCCTCAATACTCTTCTCCAGCACCACAGCTCAAAGGCATCAATTCTCCTTCTATCCTCCTTGGTCATTGTCCAACTCTCTGATGCTTAAAAAGTGACAGCAATGACCATGGCCTGAATCAGACGCACTTTAATCTCCAGAGAGACATCATTGCTCTTCAGTACTTTGGAGAGGTCCCTAACAGCAGACTTTCCCATGACAATACATCTTTTAATTTCCTGGCTACTGGTACTGAGAGTGTTGACTGTGGAGCCAAGCAAACTAAAGCTGTGAAAAATCTCAATCTCTTCAAGATCCATCCTGATGCTGCCAGTTGGTCCAGTGGTGAGAATCTTTGTCTTCTTCACTTTGAGCTTCAGTCCATACTGAAGGCTGCAATCCTTGACCCTCTGCAGCAAGTGTTTCAGGTCCTTCTCAGTTTCAGCAGGCAAGGTTGTATCATCTGCTTATCACAAATTGTTGATAGATCTTCCACCAATCTTGACTCCACATTTCTCCTCATAGAGTCCAGCCTCTCGGATAATCTGTTCTGCATGCAGGTTGAAAAGGTATGGAGATAGGACGCATCCCTGGTGTACTCCCTTCCCAATTTTGAGCCATGAAGTGTTGCTTGCTCTGTTCTGATGACTGCCTCCTGGTCCAAGTATAGGTTTCTCTTTAGCACGATCAAGTGTTCAGGGATTCCCATTCTTCTCAGAGTCAGCCACAGTTTGTTATGATCAACACAGTCAAACGCCTTTGCATAGTCAGTGAAACACAGATATACATTCCTCTGGTATCCCCTGCATTCAGCTAAGATCCATCTAACATTAGCTACAATATCCCTGTACCATGACTCCTTCAAAACCCAGCTTGGACTTCTGGCAGTTCTCTGTTGATGTGTTGTTCCTGTCATTTTTAGATAATCATTAGTATAATCTTGCTTGCTTGTGAAATTAATGATATTGTTCTGTAGTTTCCACACTCTGTTGGGTCACCCTTCTTTGGAATGGAAACAAATACAGATCACTTCCAGTCAGTTGACCAGGTGGTTGTTCTCCAGATTTCTTGGCACAACTTGATGAGCACATCCAGGGTAGCATCTGCTAGCTAAAATATGTCAATTGGTATACCATTTATTCCTGGAGTCTTATTTTTTGCCATTTCCTTCAAAGCAGCCTGAACTTCTTTCATCACCATAGGCTCTTGCTTATATGATGTTTCATGAAATTCTTCTGTGTCTGCCAATTCCTTTTGATACAGTAACTCAGTATATTCTTTGCATCTTCTTTTAATACTTCCTGGATCATTTAATATTGTGTCTAAAGCATTCTTGATTATAGCAGCTCTAGGTTTGCATTTGTTCTTCAGTTCCTTGAGCTTAAGAAACGCTGAACGAGTTTGGCCCTTTGATTTTCTGACTCCAACTCCTTGCACATTTCATTGTAATGTTTTATTTTGTTATCCCGTGCTGCATTTTGAAATCTTCTATTTAACTCTTTAGTATCTTGAATTCTTCCTTCTGCTTTGGCTTCTCTTCACTCCAGTGCAATATTCAGAGTTTCTACTGACATCCATTTTGGTCTATTTTTTCTCCTCTGTCTTTGTAATGACTGTTTGCACTCTTCCTGGATGATACCCTTGATATCCTCCCACAACTCATCTGGTCTTCGCTCGTTAGTGTTCAAGGCCTCAAACCTGTTCCTGAGATGGTTCTG